AATCTAAAAAGAAAAATTAGAACCAAATTGAGAGACATTCTACAAAATAAATAGCTTGTACTCTTAAAAAATATCAAGGTCATGGAGAACAAGGACTGAAGAAACCTTCCAGATTAAATAAAGAGATATGATGAATTAATGCTGTGCATGATTCTGGATTAGGTCCTGAATCAGGAAAACAGAAATGTACTTATTCTTTAGGAATTCAAACTGAAATAGAGTAAAAGAACTTATGCTTGCAACCTAAACAGTTCGGAGGAAAAAAAAACTCTTGGTATGTGTTTGTGTGTAAGAAGAAAACACAATGGAGAAGAATGATAAAGTAAATGTGGTAATATGCTAACATTTGAGAAATCTGAGCAAATGTTGTACAGAAATTCTTTATACAATGTCTGTAGCTTCTCTGTAAGTCTAAAGTTATTTCAGAATAATGTTTTTGTTGTCTTTTTTCTTACGTAAACAGAAAATACCAACAATTGCTTGTGCTGTGCCAGTATGCCTATTATTGGCTCTATACTGACACTTGAACTCTCGTTAATAAACTACTACTAATTCCAGCTCTCTGCCTCTTAAAAAAGAAATAAATAATCAGCATTGCATTTTATAAATTAAAATTTTACAAATTAAACATATTTGTAAAAATTTCTAATAGTGAGAAATTATACGAAAGTATGTTCCTGCACCCCCTTCTTCTAAGGTCACCACTATTAACAGATTGGTTGTCTCATTATAAACATTTCTGAACTTAGACATCAGAGTGTGTGTGTGTGTGTGTGTGTGTGTGTGTGTGTGTGTATGTGTGTGCGTGCACGCACGTTCTGGCATACATGGGCAAGCATGTAACACACACATACCTGGTCCCTTTCTCCCCTTTATGTCCATACTATAAAACATTATTGAGTATCATTTTTTTAAAAAAATCTAATATAGCCATGGACATCCAATAAGTACATGTCACTTGGCCTCATTCTTTATCATGTTTTCCCTTCTAAATGAATGATTCATTTGTCCCTGAAACTCAAGGACCATTAACTCACTTTAATGGTGGAACCATTTGTAAACACCTGGGATAGCTGATAGCTCACAGAATTGAAGCGCTGTTTATTGTGCCAAACAAAACTGTCATCAAGCATCAAGGTACTGTGAGGATCTCAATTTTCTCTAGTAGGAGGTGAGGTGACCTTCACTTTCTATATGGCTACTCAAAGTTGAAATTCCCAAAAGAGAATATGTGTTTTATCACTTTTGGTAGCGTCTGTCCCTTAAATGATCAGAGAAGTAAGGGCATAGTACACAGACCTTTCGAGAGGTGCCCTTCCCCAGAAAGAAGGACCAACAGGTGCAGCCGTCCACCTAGCTTCCCTTCCCAGGGCTGTTATTGCTTCGAAGCTCTCCATTGTATCCATCTTTCCTACCACTGCTAGTCTTACCCTTTGACTACCGTGACTCTTAATTGTGTTCCCTACACAGACAGCCTCAGTAGTACTATTTCTTAGAAATGCAGATTCTTGGGTTCCATCCCAAATTTGCTGAATCAAACTTAGGCCTAGGGCCCAGCACTCTATTTAGCAAATTGAATCTCATATACACTAACATTTAAGGATCTAGATCTGCATGCAACGAAAAGTCCTCCCTCTTGGCATAAAAGGTCCTTTGTGATCTCACCCGACCCTGCTTATGCAGGCCTCCTCCCTGCATCCTGTTACATAAAAATGTGCTGAGTGCTTTCCTGGACTGACAGCACCTGGTGAACTTTCTCTCTTCCCTTACTTCTTCCACCATGCCGAAGTATAAGGAGTGCAGCCTCTGTAAATAATAGTGAACCTGGGTTGGAAAAGACATTTGGCTGTCCCTATAACCAGTCAGAATGGGTTGCTTCTAAATAATAGTTAATCTTCAATATCATAATTTATATCTAAAAACTGTCCTTTCTGGTTCTTGTAAATAGAACACCATTTACATTTGGAAGAGAAGGTTTCTCTGTTTCATATGAGACATTTGGGTAAATTATAAGGTAGAAGGGAATAAAGTTGATTTTGAAAGGCACAGATTCCCCTTCTTTTTTCTTTTTTTTTTTTTAAAGAGAGAGTGAGAGAGAGAGGGGGACAGAGAGAGAGAATTTTAACATTTATTTATTTTTTTCTTAGTTCTCGGCGGACACATCTTCGTTTGTATGTGGTGCTGAGGATCGAACCCGGGCCGCATGCATGCTAGGCGAGCGTGCCACCGGTTGAGCCACACCCCCAGCCCCAGATTCCCCCTTTCATTTGGCAGTTATCTCACCCTGACAGCATTTAATGTGAAGTCACTGTAGCCAGAGAAGTATCTTATTAGGCTTTAATTAAAAGCACAAGACTTTTTAGTTTTCCTTGTCTTCTATCTTTTCTCCCCCATTTTCTCCTTTTTTTTCTTCCTCTTAACTTGTATATTCTCTCTTCCCCAGCCCCACTCTGTCTCCTCTTCATTATCCTTTAACATTTAAAATATTTTGGACTTGGCTAATCTCTATGGATAGAAACTTAGCTTTGAGCAGGATATTGATTACCAAATATGGTATTGCTGCTAAAGATGTTGGAGGAATGTGGCTTGTATTCTAAGCCTCCAGCCTCTGAATAAGCTGCCAAGCAAATTAGATCATTTTAACTTCTGAGCCTTTTTTTTTTTTAATAAAGATGCTGGAACATCGATTTGGAACATGATGTTGATATTATTTTAACCCAAACAAGAGAAGGGTATGAAGAAGAGGGCAGGGAGTGAGGAGACTTAGTGGAGCATGCTTTAGGACGTGAGCCACCAACCCAGGTTGTATAAGAAACAAACACATTGTGTGGAGCTTCATTTGATTCTACAACACCAGTGAATAAACTGAGGCATAGAATTTGCATCATTATTTAAGGATAGAAGCCTCAGAGGATCCCAGACAAGTCCCAAGATGTTCTTGTAATGTTATTCCCCAGTGGTCTTAGCTGAAACCCTCACATTGATGTGGGCTGTGATCCAGGAAAGTTGATTCTTCCCAGGAAGATTGGTGGAGTTCAGTGCCAGGGAAAATAGCCTGAAATTCTTATCATGTTCCTACTGTAGGTGTCTGATAGGATGCAATGTAAATGTGCAAGACCTTCTACAACATCTCCTTAAATGACAGCCAGTGACTATGCTTGTCTCCCAGCAAAGAATACAACTCTTCAGTTCCATATTAGGAAATATTTATTCTGTTGTGATAGTGGCTTTGATAGGGTAAAATGCTGTAAGCTGGCAGAATCAAATACCACTTGAAGCACAGCAGTTTGTTTCTTTCCTTGTGTATGTTTTTGGAAAGTATTGAAATTTCTCAAATTAAGACAGCAAAACCCAAGACAAATTAAAAGAAATTTCTTGTGATACACTCATAATCCCAGCAGTTTGGAAAGCTGAGGCAGGATGATCTTGAGTTCAAAGCCAGCCTCAGCAATTTAATAAGACCCTAAGCAATTTGGCAAGACCCTATCTTTAAATAAAAATATAAAAAAGGCTGGGGATGTGACTCAGTAGTTTAGCACCCTTGGGTACAATCCCCTGTACTAAGGAAAAAAAAAAAAAAGAGTTTCTTAATGTTTTACAAAATTGATACCCCTTTCACTTTTGTTGGTTAGGTCTACACAAGTGGATCCTCCACCTTCCTCCCCCATTTTGCCACCCTCAGTTGGGTTCTTCTCAGAGGATGAATAAATCAGACTAGGGAAGAAATTCCACCCACTCCCAGATGTCTCTGGGTCAAGGATCTGTGGCTTTTGTTGTACTCCCTGAGGACCTCTCTTTCCCCCAACCCCATTTCCTCTTATAGCTGTTACTGTCTTGTCTTCAGCTCTTCTTACTGAGCCTGTGAAGTTCAGAGTCATCCTAGTCTACAGAATAAGATTCTTACTCATTTCCTATGGAAATTCTCATGTTTTTCTTCAAGTTAATTGGGAAAAAAGCAAGGGAAATTGGGGACCATTGGGCCCATGTATGTACATTTAGAAAACTAAATGGAAAACCTGTGTTCTTAGGATACTTGTTTTTAGGACTCAGACAAACATTGAATATGAGTCTATTTTGGGTGTGCATTCAGGCACTATTACATAGTGCCATCTGCTTCTTGACACTATTGCTGATGTCTAGAATTCATGACATTGAACGGTTTTCTTTGGGATCTTGGTTATGCTTAGTAACAAAGGCATTCTTCAATGGAAGGGCTCCAAATAGAACTTGCCTTGCCCTAACCCTTGTTATTGATAGTGTTTGTTATTTGTCTTATTGAATATGATCCTTTTAAAAAAGGCAAACTGCAATAATAAGGACAAGAGTAACTGAAATTATTGTCATCTTTGAGGATTGTGTCTTTTTTGTCCGCCTTGTAGCTAGAAAGTTCACTATTATCAGAATCAAGACAACCACATCAAGCCTTCAGACTTTGTGTAATTCATAAGCTAACTGCAATCTAATGATTTGTTATGTACACATATCAACTGCTTAATTCCTACTTCTGAGTAATGCAGAATACTTGCATTAACCTTGTAAAGCTCTAAGTTAGGAGATGGATTCTTTTTCTCCATATATAGATAATGAAATGAAAAACATGGTCAGAGTCCAGGCCTCCTAGGACCTAGGTGTCAAGATTCCAGTGTTGCCCAGTGTTTCATTTTCATTATATTGTATTGCAATTACATCTTTCATTCCTATTAGTAGTCATCTATCCAGGTTTTTAACTGTACTAGTGATTTGCTCATGTACAAAACGTTTTTGTCCAAGAATAAAAGGAATAGTTGAAAAGCTTTTTCAGTGGAATAAGCTAAATCCTCCTGCCTTTGTGGACACATTTGTGTTGTGAGGTTTTGTATGTTCTATGTAAACAGAAAGAAAGCTCTTGCTGACCTTTTTTCCTGATAGGCTAGGGTTTAACTGGTGTTGTTTATTTTGTCACCATTCTGGTTTGACTCTAAGGAAATGAAAACATCTTCCACTTTTCTTTATTTCCAAAGGGCATCCGCTTTGATCCTGAAATTCCGCAAACACTACGACTAGAGTTTGCTAAGGCAAACACGAAGATGGCCAAGAACAAACTAGTAGGGACTCCAAACCCCAGTACTCCTCTGCCCAACACTGTACCTCAGTTCATTGCCAGAGAGCCATGTAAGTTGATCTATTTTTCATTTTGTTAAAAACTTTTATTTCATGTGCTGCATGTGAGATTACACCATGGAATGTAGTGCCAGCTGATTCTCATCTTTTATTTCTGTGAAGAGATTGCCTGTTCTTGCTGTCTGAATATCAAACACAGATGGTGATTGGCTGGTGATTGGTGTTGGTGATTGGCTGTCCCAAAACATGGTTCACCTTGAACAGAGCCATAACTTCTTTCTGTTGATGTGCTATGGATTTCCTTTAATGTGATATTGATCATTGAGAGCACGCCCTTATTTGCCTTGGAGTATAAACTCTTTCTCCCTGAACCCTTGGACAGAAGAATTGGTTCTCAGCATTCACTTTATTCTTGTTTATTGAAGGATATCTATTCTGTGGCTTTGGAAAAATAGGATGTTAAAATTGAAAGAAACAAAACTTAAGAAGTAAGTGGTCCAATTTTTTAAAACTGTTTAGTCCTAACTGTAGAGGAAATAGTAGATATACACAAAGAATTCATATATTGGAACAATCAATTCTTGCAAATTAATACCAATAAAGTTTTAAGGAAATTTGAGGCTTCCTGTTTTAAATTATTTGGTAAAGGACTTTGGCTGATTGTTAAAGAAGTCTTTTACCCCACATTGGTGAACTTAAATGTCTAGACTGTGATTTCTGCTTTTGAATGAAATCCTTAAAAAGGTTGTCTTAGTTTTCTTTTTCAAGCTCAGAAGTGGCAGAAGTGAGGCATGAGACAGTTTTCAAGTTTTCCAAGCCATATGTAATTTAATGTGGAAGGGTATTTGTGGAAACCAAGTTACTTAACCAAGTTATTTGGAATATTTCTGTCCCATTGTTCTTGATCTTCTTGCCAAATCACACGATCATGATCATCTTCCTGCATTCCTTAACAGTATGCTCCAACTATTCTTATTGAAACTGAAGGGCACATGGGTTCCTGGCTCCCCCCAACCCCATGTCGTGTGTATGTGGGGGATTTAATCTGGTCATGGTGGAAGTTAAAGTTATTCTGTAGCTCATTTACCCTTGAAAGAGCTGATGCTGGCCAATATAGTTTATCTCCCAATAAGTTCTAAAAATTTTCTATATAACCAGAAAGTCATGACCAAGGAAAAATTATTATTTCATATTCTAGGAAAAGTTGAAACCTTTATTTATTTGAGGAGAAAATCTAAACAAACATTCATCTTATAATGCAGTTGCATTACAGGAGGATAAAGGGACATTCCGTACATAATTGTTAATATTAAGCATTTAGCTCAGTGCTTTATATATTGTATATGTTTGATAAATATTTATTACTGAGTGGATAAACTGAGATTTTTATTTGATTGTTCATAGAATTAATAAAGGCATTTGTGTGCCTCTTTATTTCTGTCTGAACTTTCTTCTCTCTTGTTAAGTCATCAGAAAATAGTATTTTTCAAATGCCTTTGTTTTAGTGAAATTTGTCTTCCTCACATCTCAGTATCACTTAAAAAGATTTAATTCAGGCAGGAAGTATGATGTTGGTGATGTTAAACTTTGGCCTTTCAGTACTTAGCTGAATGTTTTTGTTGTTGTTGTTGTTGTTGTTGTTTTAACCTCAAACACTCTTCTCAGTCTTTTACAACACCCCGGTGAAATAGGTAGCAAGGGATGGGACCACATATAGAGATAAACAAACTGGCCACTCACAACCCTTGAAGTTCCAGGAGAGCCGGGAGCAGAGTAGAGTACTCTACTCCAGCTAGCTCTGCTCACTTCCCTTCTGTTTGTATGGAACAGCTCAGAAGTGGTCAGATAGTTTCCATGGCAGGGTTAAAACTTGTCCAGCTGCTCATAACAAAGCAAACTTGAAGTTTAAGAAAAAAATTCAAATAGCCGAGTGTATTCTTGAGAAAATAAGTTAGCATGATTTCTCTTAATATAGCTTCTTACGACAGAGGAGTCCTGACACGCAACAACTTCACTATGACTCAGACCTTATCACCCTTACCATTCCCTCTGGGAATCCTGACTTTTCCTGTCACATATACATATTTAGTGCTTTCCTGTTAGCACATTTTAGAGACTAAGAATGCTGTGGTGTGTATCCAGACCAGCAAATGAATTTCATTGTACCTATAATCCGTACTCGAGGTGGTCAGTTTCATCATCTGTCAAGTGTAGACTGTGCTGAAGTCAGAATTTTGGAATTAGAAAAACCCTGAAGGCTTCTGTTACAGGTCATGAGATGGGCTTTTATACCTGACGATTTTTTTTTTTTAAAGAGAGAGAGCGAGAGAATTTTTTTAATATTTATTTTTTAGTTTTCGGTGGACACAACATCTTTATTTTATTTTTATGTGGTGCTGAGGACCGAAACCAGTGCCCCGCGCATGCCAGGCAAGCGCATTACTGCTTGAGCCACATCTCCAGCCCTATACGTGACTTTTTTTGTTAAAATTTTTACATAGTAGCTGAAAAACACTCATTGCCATCACGAAAGGAAGAATGTTCTTTAATCTGATTATCCAACATTTACTTGAACTCCTAATTCTCAAATGAGCACCCAGTGTGCTAGACCCTGGGGGAGAAGAAAACTGGTTACTGCCTTAACAAAGTTGGCAGTCCAAGGAGTTGGCAGTGGTCAAAAGTTGTCAGAAAATCTTGGCCCTTTATTATAAAAATGTCAAAAAGATTCTGCAGCTTAGTCTAGATTGCCTCCAGGTCTGACTGCCATATATGCTGAGCACCTACTCTGTTCATGACAGGCATGAAGAATGAACAAACCAGGTTTTACAGCCCAGCAGGGCAGTTGGTAGCCTTGGCTTTAGACTGGAAGACATCAGTAAGAGTTCTTGTCTGAAAATTATTGATCAACCTTGTGACCTTTAAGGAAAACATTTTAATCTTGCTGTGCTCCTGTTCCCATAATCTCTGAAGGAATTATGTTTCGTTCACTTGCTTGCTATGAGAGCTAAATAAAACAGTATCCCAAGACTGCATTCAGGATTAAGTAGGAGTATTAATATGTGTAGAGTACCAGCACTAGGTGAATAAAAAGTACAATTCTCATTTTCTTTTTTTTTCCTTTTAATAAAAAGCATTGGGTTGCCTTTCCTTCCTAATAGTTAAACAAGTGTCATCATTGTGTGACTATAGACAATTGTCCTTGCAAGTTAGGAGAAAGGATGAATGGAATTCACGTATAGTCCCAGGAAAGCAGTATATCTTCCTAACTAAATTTATATTAATAGGATCATTAACTAGAACACTTTCTTTTGTTCTTTTATATGTAATAAAATTTGAGTTAAGCTATAAGAAAGCAGTTAAGGGATACAGGGGCTGGGAGAGTAGCTCATAGGGCACATACTTAGTATGTGTGAATTTCTGGCTTTGATCCCAAGCACCAAAGAGAGAGAGAGAGAGAGAGAGAGAGAGAGATGGAAAAAATATAAATTATGTAAAATTATGCATTAGGGTTGTACAGGAAGGTTGTATGCTGTAGTATAAGAACTCTGCTTTAGAAAGGAGAAAGGGGCAAGTCACCATCTTTTATTTTTGTTTTCTTCATCTACAAAATGATACTATGAATAAAATATTCTGCAAGCATTGTACATGAATTATCTCATTCAGTTCTCAACACTACTTTTCAGTTGAAGAAACTGAGGCCTAGGAAGGCTTAGTAACTGATGAGGTTATACAGTCAACAAGTGTTATAGGCTAAATTCTGTTTTCTGAACTTCAGAAATTGAAATCTCAACTCCTCGAACCACAAGATGAACCATATTTGGAAATAAGATGATTAAGTTCAAATGTTAGAGACCTAATCCAGTATAACTATTGTCCTTATAAGAAAAACAGATACCAGGTATGTGTGGACACAGGAGATAGCACCTGTAAAACCCAGGAGATAAACCTGCCAACACCTCAATCTCGAGCTTCCAGCCTCCAGAACTGTAAGAAAATAAATTGCTATTTAGGCTATGAGGTCTGCTATTTTGTTATGGCAGCTGAAGCAACCTAATACGTCAAGCAATATGGCCTGGATTTAAATCTGGACTCTCATTTAATAAGTTTTGTAACGATCTAGTTACTTAACCTTTCTGTGTCTCCATTTTCTGAGCTCTAAATGGTAATTAAAATTGACCCTTCCTATAGTTTATTGATTGATTAATGTATGTAAAGATTAGAAAAGGACCACAGGGACAGTACTCAGTGACCATCAGTATGACCACTAGTATGTATAGGTGTGGCAGTGTGTGTCAAAATGCATGTTTATGTGTCTTTTGTCCCTCATAATTATGAGGCCTATTGTTTTTCTACATTTGTACTCAGCATATAGAATGTAGAAATACACATGGAATGTTTTAAATATGCCACAGATTTATTTTTATGCATTTTTATTTGGTCATAATGCCTTATTCCCAGCAAGTGCAGAAGGAGGTGCACTTTAGGGAACTTTGTAAATTTCCAGTGTTATTGAGGTATAATTGGGGAATAATGAAATATACATATTCATGGTGTCTTAACTTAGTTATTTTTATCAGGCTCTGATTGTAAAAAATATTTTGAGTTTAGATTGCTTAGTATACCTTATTATTGTAGTATCTTTAAAGAGGGAACAGCCAGTGTTTAATAGTTTTCCCCTTTTAATTCAGTTTTTGTGGCATAAATATCAAAAGACTCCAAAAATCTGCAATAATCCAGTTTCCTATATTCCAATCCCAGGGTTTCTGATTTTTTGGAGTTTGGACTAGGATTTAGCTCTGTATTTTTAAAAGCTCCTGGGGCTTAACATTTGAGGATCACTAATAGAGCAAAGAATTAAAAGTTAAATTCTAATATATTAAATTCTATTAAGTTAAATTCTTCTTTCTGCTCACATACTCCCTTATACCTACACTTTACCTCCCCACTTCCAACCCAAAGCATGCTCTGTTACATTGTTTCTCTTAAATACCTGGTGAGTACATAATCTTTTGGTGAATAATCACTTCCTTGTTTGCCTGCCACACCCTTGG